GTCATTTAACAAGTAAAAATATTTAAATAAATAAATTAAATTAAAATTTTGTAATTAATTAATCATAATACATTTGAATATATTATAACTAATTTTTAATTACTTGTTGGGTTTATAATAAAACAACTTTGTTATTTCACTTACTATTTACTTATTTAAACATAATTTTACTTATTAAATGAAACAAGTAACAATTATTGTATATATTAATAATACAATAAGTAATTAACAAGTAGTAACTGAATGAAATAAATAAATTATAACTAATTATTACAAACTGTATTTATAATATTTAAATAATTTTACTTCTTTATTTCTTAAAGACTATTAAATAACTATTAAAGTAAAGTAAAGTAGCAAATAATTAATAATTAATTACAATATATTTATTTTATTTAAATATATTAGAAGTATTATTTATTCACTTATTGTATTTATAACATTTTCAATATATTATTTATCTATTTTATTAAATATTTACTTATGAAATGAAACAAGTAATAAGTACGTTGTACACATTATAAATGTAGTAAGTAATTATTAATTAATTATAATATATATTATTTATTCCATTTAAATATATAGCAACAAATTTAATTAGTTAATTGTAACTAATTTAACATATTTCATTTGTTAATTACCTATTATGTTTATTATATATACAATATATTTATTACTGATTATATAATAATATTATTTACATTATTAACTAATTAATGATTTATTTAATTTGTGTGCAAATATATTTTAATTATTATAATTACTTTATTTTAATTCCAACACTTTTTTAAATGCATTTATGTCATTTTCAGCAAATTAAATGCAAATAAACATGTGGAACTAAATTGTATTTGTTCTATCATTCCCATCACGCAAAGACATTGTTTAAGTCGATGGTAACGAGTAACCAAGAGATCACGTTTTCTCCAAATTTCGAACATTTCTGCTGAATGATTTGATTTTAACTCCCAAATCAACGAAATTTCTTGGAATTTAGAAAACGTTTTATCCAAAACAGGGCTTATATCTTTAAATTTTGATTGATATATGCTTCAATTAAGCCACTCTTGTTTATATATAAATGATGTAGAAAGTTAGAGCTCTATCTTATCTCCTTACTTCAATATATATAAATATATATATTATAACTTAAAAAATATATTTATAGATTTAAATTATACACCGATTTTAATGGTTAAAATAAAAGCAAAATCTGCATAATTGCTCACATATATTTTAGAAAATAACATGGAAAAACTATGAACAAATTTCACTAAAGTGCAAACTAATACTCGCTGTTTTGATTTATACTTTCTAAAAAGGCGAGTAATTTTAAGTTAAATATTTAAATTACTTTGAAATGAGTACTTTCTCTCTAAATTTTGCCATTTATTTCCTTTCCATTTATTACATTATCTTCGATAATCGTTATACCTCCCTATTGTCTAATAATAACTAAAATGATGTAATTTTTTTTCGCATCTTCATCGTTTTTTTCCCTTAACAACATCAAATAGTAGCAAGGGTGTTATTAAAGTAAATAGCATTACTTTCTTAAAGTATTATAGTGTATAAAAATAAAGTTGTTTACAAAAAATATATACTTTTTTTATCCCCTTGAAATATTGTTTTAAATTGTATTACTGTAAAATATATATATATTTTTCTGTCTTAATATCTAAGAAAATTACATTTTTTAGAACTAAACCAGTATGATCAGCAATGACAAATTGCAATACCGTGACAAATATAACACGCACACCCACACACAAAAACAATAATGTGCAACAAAAATAACATACACAAGCGAAATTCATCCCGGAATCGAGGAAATTCGATTTAGTTGTATTTTATGAAGCTTAGCTGAGTTTTTTTTTTAATTTTAATTAATTAATAAATAATAAATAAACAACCAGATTATTTTAAAGCTTTTCTAATGTTTAAAAATATATAAAATATTAAAAAAATACTTCAAAAATTTATAAAAATGTGTAATACTATTTATCATGATATGTTTATGTTTTATGCTTATTAGCACGATACTGACATCAAATATATAAGTATTATCTTAAGCGATTTATGTATAGACCCTGCTTATATACGTAAATGTTGGATATGAATACATAAGCTACATAAACTAAATAGTTACATGTAAATATTTACGTTATACACATAAGTACTTATACATATATGTCATTATCTTAAGTACTTGAATGTTGATGTATTTTATATGATGATGTAGGCTATATGTGTATATTGACAAGTATTTTATACAATACTTAAGTACTGTATATAAATATCATCATTGTGTATAAAAACATAACAGCTATANAGTACTTATACATATATGTCATTATCTTAAGTACTTGAATGTTGATGTATTTTATATGATGATGTAGGCTATATGTGTATATTGACAAGTATTTTATACAATACTTAAGTACTGTATATAAATATCATCATTGTGTATAAAAACATAACAGCTATATAAGTATTTATGTATATAAATACAATATATTATTTAAACCATAATAATAATTTAAATTAATAAATTTTTAATTTATTTTACTTATAAATTTGTTAAGATTTCCTCTTACGCGTTCAAGTTATGTAGGTCATTCTGTATACAAAATTATCATAAATGTTATATCATTAACAGATGATAATATATAAATAGAAAAGGTTATCCAGTTAGATTAAGTAATTGGAAGATTGTACGACCAATGAAAGATACTGTTTCAAATAAGCGTAAATACATTAATATACTTGATAATACTCGAACGATCGTCTAAAAAAAACACGATAAAAGGAAATGGTAATATATATAGGTTATATAAAATTATAAAAATAAAATTTATTGTTCATTCTAAAAAAGTTAATAACAAATTTTTTAAAAAAAAAAGCAAAATTTATAAAAATGTGTAATACTATTTATCATGATATGTTTATGTTTTATGCTTATTAGCACGATACTGACATCAAATATATAAGTATTATCTTAAGCGATTTATGTATAGACCCTGCTTATATACGTAAATGTTGGATATGAATACATAAGCTACATAAACTAAATAGTTACATGTAAATATTTACGTTATACACATAAGTACTTATACATATATGTCATTATCTTAAGTACTTGAATGTTGATGTATTTTATATGATGATGTAGGCTATATGTGTATATTGACAAGTATTTTATACAATACTTAAGTACTGTATATAAATATCATCATTGTGTATAAAAACATAACAGCTACATAAGTATTTATGTATATAAATACAATATATTATTTAAACCATAATAATAATTTAAATTAATAAATTTTTAATTTATTTTACTTATAAATTTGTTAAGATTTCCTCTTACGCGTTCAAGTTATGTAGGTCATTCTGTATACAAAATTATCATAAATGTTATATCATTAACAGATGATAATATATAAATAGAAAAGGTTATCCAGTTAGATTAAGTAATTGGAAGATTGTACGACCAATGAAAGATACTGTTTCAAATAAGCGTAAATACATTAATATACTTGATAATACTCGAACGATCGTCTAAAAAAAACACGATAAAAGGAAATGGTAATATATATAGGTTATATAAAATTATAAAAATAAAATTTATTGTTCATTCTAAAAAAGTTAATAACAAATTTTTTAAAAAAAAAGCAAAATTTATAAAAATATTATTCATTTTTCAAAGATCTAGTAGTTTATTTTTAATTATTTTTAAAAATTAATTCAAAGAAACATATAAAAAAGTTGATACTTTTGAGTTTTTCGAATTTATTTTAACTCAAAAAATTATTATTTGAATTATTTTTATTCTAAAAAAAGAGTTTTCTTTAAGTTAAAAAAAATATTTTCTATATAAGATATGTTATTTTATTTTTAATTATTTTTAAACTAATGAAAATTCGAAAAGCACACATTTATATTTTAAAATTATAATATTTTGTTTTATTTTTAATCATAAAGAAAGTTTATAATATTAAAAAACAATTATATTTTTTGTTCTAAAAACCACAAAAATTCTTTTCAATTTACCAAGAAAACAAACCTCTTTTTTGGAGCGTAACATTGTATTTATAATTATTTTAAAAACCTTCGAAAATTTAAAGTAAAGAGCAAACAAGTTAATTTTTAAAAATTTATAATATAAAAATCTGTGTTTTTCTGTATTTTTTTAAAATTCTAAAAACACAAACTCTTCTTAAAGGTGTATCATTTTATTTATAATTATTTTAAATTAAAAGAGACGAATTTTTTCTGTTCTGAATTTCAAAAAAACTTACAATTTCTAAAAAATCTAATTATTTTAATAAATTATAATTCACTAATTGTAACGAATTATTTAAACAATGTGAATTTTTTAGATTTTAAATTCACATAAATAAAATTTTTAAGATAAATTTAATTTTAATATATTTTAAACACGTGTCAAGTTTAAGTATATTAAATTATACAGAAAATTTGAATTATAAGTAGGGTAGAGTATATACACGGCATCGATATATCAATTAGAATGTGGGGTGAAAATAGGATGGTGGCAGTATATTGTCATTGGTTCTCTTCTACGAAACGAGCAAGCGAGCAAACAAACGTTGCTGCCAGTTATTTGGCTGCTCTGCTGACAGAGGAGTTGTCTGCAGCTTTCTCATCCCTAACAGCAACGACGCCACTCTGTGCTCTAACTGCCATGAGGTGTCTTGTTAAGTGTTGGTTGGTGCTGTCGTTAACGTGCTACCTTCTATCTCTGGTAAATACCGAAAATAATGGAGAACTGGCACACGTTACGGATACAGTTTTTGGAACCAAATGTCAACGTCGACCACCCGGTTTTCTTTCTCCCAAAACAACGGGGGATAATGGTTTTAAGATAAAAGTTGGTGTATCAGGTAGCGTAGATCGTTACGTTCCCGGTGAGATATATACAGGTAAGTGGTATTTTATTAAATTCTAAAAAAATCTATATTTATGTGCTTTTTTCTGGTTCTAAAAAAACATAACGCTCTCGCACGCTCTTTCCAAAAAAATAAAAATAAAAAACAACTTAATATAGGCTATCGTGTTTCGAGTATTATTAAATAATATATAAATAAAACTTTTTCGGTGTTTAGAATGGAGAGAAGGTTCATAAATTTAAAAAAAAAAAGAGAAAATTAAATCGAAAAAGTCGCATAAATGAACTGAAGGTAATACTTGTAACTGATCTTCTTTAAAGAAAATCAGTGACTTTTCTAGTAACTTTTTTTAGGTAATTATAAAAAAATTGCTAATTCTAATAAATTTACAGTCGTAAAATATAAAATTAAATGAGTGTTTTACACAAAAAATAGATTAAAAAGTTGAAAAATAAACCGATAAAGTTAGTACTTTTCAAGTTAATTAGCATTTAAGTGAACATTAAAAAAAGAAAAAAGACTAGCAATAAGATTACAAGAATGACTTTCTATCAGGTCAGTAAGTAATATACTAGTTCAATTAATAAGGCACGAAGAGGAAGAAGAAGGATGATCCGACGTAGTTCATACCGTGTCATGGGTCATTGACCAATTTCGATGGAACTGTTAATGCATTAAGTGGAAGATGGTAGAATACATGACAAGTGCTGATAGGCGTATATAAATATATAATTATGCTGTAATTAAAAAAAATTCATTTACGCATTTCCACTGTCGTCCGTCTGACTGTCTTTCCTTAATGTCGAGAACGGAGCTAGAAAGATAACAGAAGAGACAAGGTTTGGAAACACTAGGTGTAAAAAGCCAGAGTAACTATATAATTGAATTTCNCCATCGTTTTTGATTTTTTTAAATGTTATTTTTTATAAAGGTTTTATCATTTTTTTAAATTATATTATCTAAACAATTACTTTAGATGTCATTAATACATATAACTTGATGCTTATATATTATTAATTATAATGATTTAGATATTATAAATACTTTTAGATACTATATAAAGATATTTCGTTGTAAACATTTTTAGAGTGCATAAATATCTAATAAATCTGAATTAAATTACGGTATTTTATAGATATATTCAATTATATACAGTAATCATTTGAGTTTCTTGCTCTTTCTTTCGTATCTTTTTATGAAACAATTTAATTACTCCACTAATTATATTAAAAAATTCAATTTATAATACGATGCTTGCGTCTTAATTCAGGTTTTTTAATGTTATTAATAAATTATTTTAGATTTTTTAGATATTTTCAAAGATATAATAGTCTTTGTGTTTGATTTTATATATATTTTTTGAAACTTTACTAATTACATCATCTAAAAAAATCACTTCTTGATATGATACTTATGCTTTATTATCTTTATCTAAGAAATCTGAATTAAATTGCAGTTTTTATAGATTCAACGATATAATAGTTTTATGTATTTGCTCTTTCAGATTTTTTAAAACTTGTAATATTTAACTAATTATATGACATAAAAAATCACGTTATAATACGACGCTTACATTTTATTAATTTTAACTAAAAAAAAATCTGAATTAATTTAGATTTTTAAAGATATTTTCAAAAATATTAATCTACATATGAATCTCCTTGATTGTATTTTAATTAGTTGCTTCGGTAATTATAATTCAGTTGCATTTAAATCGATATATTTACGAATATTTAATTTACTGTAATATTATATAATAGTGTAATTTAGAACTAATTAATAACTCGTTTTAATTTTAATATTTATTTTAACAATTTAATCATTTCATTTTAATCACTGTTATTCTAATCATCTAGATTCTCAATTAATTTTCAAAATTAAAATATTTAACGTAATTGATGGTATAAATTGATGTTAATCCTGAGATTTGCTTTTTTTTTGGATGAAATTAATGTTTTTAATTATTAAAAATTTGATACGCTGTGTAAAATTTTATGTTTTTTTGTTTTAATTATTTAATGAGCGATAATTAAAATAACCAGCAAAAACTTAAAATTATGTGAAGTGCTATCTGTTAATGAGATTTTATTAAAGAAAACATTTTATATTATTAATTATTATAAAATGACAAAAAGCTTAATTTTAAAATAGAGGATGTGTTTTATAAAAAATTGCAAATGCTAGTAACGAGTAAAATCTTTATTAAGTCTAATTCCACTGGAGCTATGACACATGACTCACCTCAATCTTCTCACGTTCTTGACCTTTAACCACCAAAATTTAATAGCATTAAAGTCTCTAATGTATAAATTTTCCTGAAAAATTTCAGAAATTTTCGACAAAAGGTACAGGAGCTATTAAACTTCAAACTGGTGAACTAAATCCTGTCATACACAAGACACACACTAACAACCACACACTCACATTCAGAAAAATCCCGCACTTCTTGACATTTCAAGGTCTTCTGAGTCCAAAAATGTAGAAATCTTGAGGAGGAATGCATTTTTCGACCGATCGCCATACGTTTCCTCTCTCATATAACATCCGGGAAAGTCAAAATAAAAGGACAAAATGAAAATTTAAAAATCTTCAATTCACCTTGCAAGTTTGAAGAAAAACCATGTATAACATCTGAGACGTCTATAACATATCCTATATCTATAACATTGTATCCATAAACTAAAAAATTTAAATACAGCATCTAAAAAGTAAATATAACACAAAATTATCTACAATATAAAAAAATTTATAAAATCTAGAAACAGCTATAACACTAAGTGAACATTTACATAACAAAAAAAGGTCCTAAGTGTTGATAACATTTTANCTACAAATAGAATGTTTTTCATTATCTACTGAATACAGAAAAATATTTTTTTTTTAAATTTCTCTTTATTCTTTTATGAAGTGAATAGTAAATTGTTTAATTCTTGTCTCGAAACTCCTAAAAAAGTTTCGAGACAACAACTTCTCTTCCGTAATTTGATATAAACATATGCTTCTTATGTCTAAGCTATTCGTTATACTAGGTCAAAGGTCAAGTTTTAAATTACTGAGTCGGAGTCAGAGGACTCCTATCTTGAGACTGTCGAACGAAATAGATCAAAAGGAAAGAATATAGAGAACATCTCTTCGAATCTGTAGAAATATCGCCAATAAAAAAAAAAAAAAACTCATTGATGTTCAACTCCTTTCAAATTCTTTAAAGGAGTTGAATATCGAAATCAAGGAGGATCTATGCAGATTAGATACCTCATGCATACGCATTCCTCATATCACTTAAATATCTCATCAGAGACTGTTCATAAATAATGTCACATTTCAGAGAAAATGGTAGCTCAGAATGTGAGACAATGTAACAAGATAGGAAAGGGGGCTGATTCTTGTGACGTCACGTTTCATATTTACCATTAATTGGAATCATACACGCTTTTAAAATGCAATACTGTATGCTTTTAATAAAACATGTTAAACACATGTTAACATGTTTATTAAACATGTTAAAAAATTTAGTTTTTATTCTTAAATTTATGAAACACTAAAAGGTAGCAAAAAATAATTGTGTCATACAGTTAATTTACTATTGCTGATAACGTAATCTGTTACTGCCAAAGTAAATTGGTGCAATTTCTGTGACTATAAATAGTGTGGAATTTACATCATCGCATTTACTATTTAGTTACCACAAATGATTCACCAATTCAGTTTTTATAAATCTGAAGTCAAACAAATGTTAAGATAGATAAGGATATGAAATTGTAGTGATGTTGCTATGAAGTTATATGTCGTCTTTGTCTCTAAGATCTGTTGATTTAAACAAGTAACTTTGAATATAGGCTACTTAGAACTTCCACATCCATTAGACACAAGACTGAGACCAAGCACAGTACTGTAATTACGAGTTCAGCAGTTATTTACTATGTTAGACTCGTTAAAAATGTTTATTAATATTTTGAAAAATTAAAAGTTTATTTTGAGAATATTATCAAAGAAAAAGGAAATATAGAGAAACGATACTCAATAACGTTTTCTAAATCTGCAGAGGAAACAACTTTTGAATTTGTTTGGAATGCACGGAAAATAACTCGGAGGATATTGATGACGTAGACACGACAGAAGAAAGCATTCCCATAGACACACGTGCCTTCAACATTCCCATTGTATCAATTGAAGAACACGTTAAAAATCCACGAGAGTGAAGTAACCTGCTAGCAAAGATAAAATTTTGGTTAATGTAATACTGTTGTTATGTAGTGTTCTATTTCCGTAAAAGTATAAATAAATAATTTTATGTTAATAGCCATTATATAATTCACGCAATGTATTTTATGTCGTAATAAGGCAAAAGCTTTTTCGGAGGATGACAATCAATATGATGTCATTTGTAAGAATAACTTCGTCGTAATGTGATAATGAATTACGTGGGAGGGGGGTTAAAATTGTGAAATTTTAGCGTGACACCATTTATGGATGGCCTTTCAAAGAGGAGGTGTGAAGATTACATGCCCAATTAACCTCCTTTAAAGGAGATTTTGGATATTTAAATCCATCTTTAAAAGAGGACCCATGGGTCCTTGATGAGAAGTTTAGAAATATGGAATGTGTAAACACGAGATGTCTTATGGATTTTTCTCCATAGATTCACGAGATACGAGGAATGAATATGGATGAAATATCTAATCGTAACTCATTTCACCTAGTTTAGGTTTTCTTCAAATGATTAAATGTATATGTTACTGTATATAACGATTTAGAAACTAAACTACTACGGCAGACTTTATATCGTATAAATGCAGAAAACTACTGGTGTTCCAATTAAGACTATCAAACAGTAAACCCAAGTTTGTCTTATATCCAAGTCTTTTTTAATCAGGAAACAAAGTTCAGTTGGCTAACGCATAGCGAATGAATTCCCGAATCCCAAAATGCATAGCGAATAAAAATTTCTTTTTCCAACCGAACTTCGTCTCCTGCATAAAACAGACTTGGCTATAAGACAAACTCGGGTTTACCGTTTGAAAATCTTAATTGGA